GCGTCTGTGGCCGGGGATCGAACCCCGGACCATGTGCATGGTCGGCGAGCGTCCCAACCGCTGTGCCACCGACGCACAGCCGTGATGTTAGATTGTAAAATCAAACGAACAGAAGAAGGTCGCCCAGTCAATGAAAGTCAATGAAAGCTTCGCAATGAAGTCATCAGTCAGCTCAAAGAACACGAGTACATTAAAATCACCCATCTGAGCTACAAATCTTCTCCCCATTATGTCTAAATCTTATGAAAGTAAACTACGTGACAACCTTTTTTTTAAGGAATGAACGTTAAAATTTGTGAAGCGGTGAGAAGCCCAGTCAAACATTACAGAAGGCCGTTCATCATTCACCCTCGCTCACTCGATAAAGACACTCTTACAAATCCTGAAGAAGATATTGTTCCACCTTGGTTACTTATCTCATTCTTTTGACTTCTGTTATGGTGAGAGCTGTCTGCAAGCAAGTCAAAGTTGTAGACAACAATTCATGTCAATGCATACGTCCTGAGTCGGGGTCACGAGAAAAAAAAACAATAACAAATCTTAATCTTGATGAATTCACCAACCAGTAATAGAAGACTTAACGCGTGCAAATACGATTCTCATCAATATGGCTTAACTTTCTGAGAAACGGTCAAAAACAGTACAGAATAACCCTGAGCAAGAAAACAACCAATCAGAAAACGTTGCTTCTCTGTTAACAATAACGCTGATAATATCGTGCATAAAAATATATAAATATGTGTTGATTTTCTCAATAAACGATATGTTGCCTGGCTCTTGTCTTCCATCGTTACACTGTTATCGCTAACCACCTCGGAATGACCATAGCATCCTGTGTTGTAGAGATCCTACACGCTCACCAAGTATGATGATGATGATAGTCGTGAGTCTTTTGATGCCTTGTTTTTTAACTTCACTATTCCTTGGACCTGAATGATAAATGTTCTCAAATCTATACAGAAGAACTTGTCTAAACCTTAGTTGGATAAAAAGACTTCCTCCCTAGAAACAATTAAACCACAATTCTCCACAGTTCACTATAAGTATATAATGAATATAAAATCATTATATCACCATATAAGATATCTTGAGAAGCAGTAAGGATACTACTACTACTACTACTAATAATAATAATAAAAATAAGGCGAAAACACTCTGTTGTCATGACAATTATTCAATAACAAAAAACAACAGTTACTAATACTTGAAACATTGAAATCTGTAGCGCGCGCGCGAGAGAGAGAGAAAAAGCCCGCAAAGTTTAAAACCCTTTTTTTTCAACTTTGAAAAAATATACATATTTATGCTGTAATGTAAGAAGTTGTTGATTTTAACACCGGGTTTTTTTCAAATATATATAAATTTTTCAAAATTTCTCAATAAAACAGCTTGTTTTCTCAACAAAAGTGGAACTTTTAGTAGTAAGGAGTGGCTTAAAGTATTACTTATTCTATGTACTTGTTGTTTTTTACTCAAGTGATAAGTTACCCTGAATTGTATTCAAATTCAAGGAAGGGTGAAAAACTTTGTTTTCAGAGACAGAGAGAGAGAGAGAGAGAAACAATCCATTTTTAAGTTGTTTCTTTTTGTTCTATTTTTTCACATTTTCTAACACTGTAACCAACTGTGTCGTTGTTCAGGTGTTGATTAGCCAAGATTTTCTCATGAAATGACACATCAGCTGGAGAGCCATTGTTGAAAACCAACCAGCAAGAAGTAGTGGACAGCTGGCTTTTTTCTCCCCGTGTTAGTCCTCTTCATCAATACTCATTTATAATCCTACTGTCTGTCTGTCTGTTTATTTTCGATATAGAACTTTGCACTGATATGCGATAGTTCAAGTCACCACACTCCCTCCATGTAGCACACAAACCAAGAGAAAAAAGTAGAAAAAAAAATGAAAAATAGAGACAGTAAACAGAGGTGTGAGGCAGAGGAATAGTAATAACGAAGAACAATATAGTTTCACTGGAAATCATAAGTCACAAGGAGTGGGTGCATTTGATCTGTCATCGAGAATGATTTTGAGCCATGTCACTAATCGTCTCCAGCTTTCATTGGTGTTTAACGTCCCGATGACCGCAACTAGTCAGGAAGTCTACACCTTCCAACGTGGCTTAGACTAACTGTTGTGGATTTGATTGACTGGTGAAGCCATGTTTTGGTTTGACAACCGCTAGCTCTTTTCCAGCCTGACCCTAGGTCAGCTAACATTGCACATTGTCGAGGAAGGCGATCTATGACTAGGCATGCGTAACACATATCCTAACCATTTCAGTTGATGTAATTTCACAGCCTTGTCTATTGATTTCCCCTCCCTCCTTATCTAGCACTCAACAGAAGCTTAATCTCAATATTGCTCACCTTATTATACCACTTCACACGGGAGATAGAATGTAGACACCCATGATCAAAGACAGCTAATCTTTTCATGTCTTCCACCCTTAATAGACCAGGTCTGGCTCACAGCCATAAAGGAGGACGGAGTGGACTACTGAGCAGTATACACTTCCTTAAGTTGATAGCCGAATACCGCGTCTACTCCAAAGACGACGTAAACTGGCATATGCGAAACTAGCCCTCTGTATCCGTGCTGAGATTTCGTCAGAGATCAACCCGTTAGCAGTGGCTGATGGTACTTCCCAAATAATTGAAGCGGTCAACATGCTCCACCAACCACTTCACTCCCTATTTTTAAACTAGGAGTCAGTGTAATCCAGTTCTGTAACATCATCTTACATTCACTCTCGCCAAACTCTACGCCTGGAGGTTGAACCCAGGAAATTCTGGTTGCTGGCTGACTTTTACATCTTCATCCGTTCCGCTGGTCTGTGGTTAAATCATGCTTCCTGGCCAGATAAGTGAAGGAAGTGACCTCTGTCAAATGTGTCCTATTGATGGTGACTGGTGCTGGTAGTTGTTGTTGCTGTTGGTTAGTTGGTTGGTTGGTCATCTTCACTTCAGTCTTTTCTGTGTTCACTTTTAGTCCTGTCTTCGCTACCAGACTCTTCGAGTCAATGTGACAGCAAACGTAAATCATCCACGAGCGAATTCCAGATCATCTAGAGTCTTCCTATTGGTCAGTGTAGCGTATTCCTGTCTCCTCACTTAACCAGGCACGGTGTACCACATAGTCCAGTTTATCACAATTAGGAATATCATCATTGGTGATAATAGGTAGACAGATAGCTAGCTTCTTTTCGCCTGTATTCACTTCGAACGCCTCGCCGAGGAGAATGTACAAATATGTTTTCCATAATAAATGTCTGTTATTAATCCTTTTATCTTCTACAGTCAGAGATTTATCTGCATCCTCTATGAATGCTGGTGTTCTTTTATCCAGACTTGAACCCCAGACCCATCATTCGAAACACCAAAGTATCATCCACTATGCCACTGGAGCCACTGAAAATTTCAGCTCTACAACAATTAATACCAGCTGGATAAAATGTGGTTCCCATGACTCACTGGCCTAGTGGATAAGGTGAACAACTCCTGAACAACCCTCTCACCTGATATTGTGTGACTTATAAGCCGACATAAGTGAGAGAACTATTAAAAATCAAAGGGGGTGTTGAACAGTTGTTTCCACCTAGTTCACGACTCTTTATCTGTACGCACCAGTCACTATCAGCGGGAGAGATTCGACAGACATCACTTCCTTCGCTTATCTACGAAGCATCGGGACGGATAAAGATATCAAAGCCAGCCAGCCAGCTAGAATTGGCAAAGCAAGATACACTTTCATCAACCTGAAACCATTTTCGAAATCTTCTGCACTTCGCAGTTCAAACAACAGGATTCGGATTCTGTTCAACACAAATGTCAAGTCAGTCAGTCACTGCTTCTATAGGAGCCAAAAACGTGATCACCTGCCACTTCCGCTGGCTGGCCCCATACTGAAGATCGTATGGCCAGCCAGCCAAGTAGTCAGAAAGAATTAGCAACAAGAGGCTCTCGCTGGCTGTTTGTCTGGGAACAAACCAACAGGCGACAACCGATTGCTTAAGAAAGGCATATGTAGGAGAAAATAGAGATGGATTGATCGAGTATACGTTGAAGAGGCGGTCGAGTGACATCCCGCGCTTAAAATACACACCACGATGGTTGAAGTGGAACTCGAATAGGAAGCGACAAGGGGTTCGTCAGTGTGAGGGTGGGTGACATAAGGGAGATTGTACGAGTTAGAAGGCAGTCGTGGAGCTATCCAGCTATCCAGCTGAAGAGGACAGCAGAAAACAGAACAGAGTGAAGATATTCACAAAGGAGACCAATGTTCCCCCCTTGGAACTAAGAGTCTCATGTTACTACAATAGAACACGTCAGCTAGTATCTAGGGTACCCCCTTAGTTTTCATTTCAAGTGGAACTACAGAAGTTTATCTCTTATGAGTTCAAAACTAGGACAAACATGTGTTCAGTCCTCTGCTTAGATTTCAATAATTTATTATCTAAATATTTCCCAGATTAAAACGTGTACTGTGATAGAAAACACCCTCTCTTCTGTTTTCCCTATTTTCAAATATTTTTTTTGGTTTTTTATGTTTTTATTAGGAATTTCCGTGTTTTTTTCTTTTTTTTTTCTGTGCCTAAATTGTCTGTAAAATAGTTGACAGGCAGAAAATATCGCATCATCCTCGCACCCCCATCCCGTCCTTCGCACCACTACTCTCCTACCGCCTCTCGTTAATCAATCTAGGCAAATTCTTACGTGACTTCACTCACTTCATATGATTGACCCAGTTAGAGGAAAACCGTATTTTGAACAAACACGCATGACAAGCGAGTGCGCGTGTGTGTGTGTGTGTACTTAGAGGCCCATTTTTACGACACAAATAAAAGAAGAAGAAGCAAACGATAAAATATTTTCTCACAACACACAGAGAAAAATATGAGTGGGGGTTGGTGGGTGGGTGGGTGGTTAGGTGGTGTTAGGGAAGAAAGTTGAAAGCCTACTCCAGATAGAAGAATAAACATAAGCATTCAAGTACAACTGCTTACCTTTCCGGTTAAAGAGGAATTGACATTTGACCTTGATATGACAGTTGATCTTCTCGATGCTGGTGATGCGAGTGCTGTTGCCGCTGATTGTGGTACTGACGATAACTTTATCAAATTAAGATCATTGAAAATGCCATCAGGTAATCTTGGTGGATTTGTACGTAATAAATAGGCGAATGCAAAAATTTGTTTTACACACTGATTTGTACATTGTAGTTGTAATGCAGTTGTAGGCATAGATGGGGGTGGAGATAGCGAATTAGATGTATGACATAATTTTGTATTCCCACCAGTCTGTTCAAATGTCAGTGAACGTTTAATCGCTGCCATTTTTTGCTTCCTACTTTGTTTAACAATTAAAGTATTTGTTGACGATGCGGATGGTAAAACCGGTGGATGGTTTGAATTCCTCGCCTCTGTTTTTGATTTTGACAACATGATGCTTTTATGATAGTTTGTTTATTTGCATTGAACGAACTAAGAAAAGAAGGAAAGAACATAAAAAAATGTTTTTAATAAATAATGCAAACATATTGATAATTGAGAGTAATGAATGACAATCATTTATCTCTATGAATATTTAGTGGCTTATCTTAAAATTCCCAGTGGCTCAATGGTCTACGAGCTCGCCTTGTAAATAGAAGGTCCTGGGGTTCGAACCCCGGTGGGTGCGTCTGTCTGTCTGTTTTAGACATAGAACTTTGCACAAATGTGCGGCAGTTCAAGGCGCCACACTGCATGTACCACACAAAGCAAGAGAAGAAAGTACAAGAAAAGCATAATAGAGACTGTAAACAGAGGTGTGAGACAAAGTAATAGTAATAACGAAGAACAATATAGTTTCATTGGAAGTGATAAGTCACAAGGAGTGGGTGCATTTGCGCTAGCCATTGAGAAAAATCACTTTGAGCCATGTCACCAATTGTTTCCAACCATTTGCTTTTACCGTCCCGAGGACCCCAACCAGTCAGGAAGTCTACACCTCCCTACGTGAATGGCTTAGACTAACTGTTGTGGATTTCATTGACTGGTGAAGCCATGTTTTGGTTTGACAACCGCTAGCTCTTTTCCAGCCTGACCCTATGTCAGCTAACACTGTCCGTTGTCGAGGAAGGCGATGACTAGGCATACGTAACACACAGTCTTTATAACTTCAAAACTTCGTCGACTGAATCCGAAATGCACAATCTGGTGGGTGCGTACTGGTAGAGAGTTCCAAACTAGGACGAAACAGCTGTCTAGTACTCCCTGGTAGATTTCTAGTGGTTCTCTAACTAATGTCAACTCATGATGAAACCCTCCATGTTATCTTAAAAGATGCATCCTTTAAACTTTGCAATAGGTTATAACTAAAGTATACCTGAAAGGTATTCGACATTGGGTTTAAGCAGCACATCACCGTTTCTGTCTTTTTTCTTGGTAGTTGCTTTTGGTAATAATAATAATAATGATTTACTTTATTCCAAAGCTTCTACTTGTGATACAGAATGGTATTTTCAGCATTAATCACAATATTACAGCATCTAATTTCCTCAAATTACAAATAAAATTAATCACACAGAAAATCCTCCACATTTACAATAGAGGTAGTGTCAAAAACATGCAGCACATAAAGTGGAAATAATAATAATAATGATAACAGCTAAGGTAATAGTAATAATAATACAAGTGAAAATTACCGTGGGCTTGTTTCACACAGTATTGTCGTTATATGCGGTATAGAAATCCTAGCATGTTTAAAAATATTGAATATAATGTTCTCTTTGCATGATGATATGATGAGGGGAAAAACAAAGATTACAGCAGTCATAGAGATAGGTTGGTGTTTGCAATTATGAGAGTAAAACAAGCGAAGAAGCAACAGGACCATAAACATAATAGAAATAATAAAAGTAAAACTTGAAGGAGGTATATAAGGATGGATGGATGGAGAAAACTGTTCATTTACTAGGTGAGAAAAGGTTAGTTAATTCTTCTTGCCTGACACTATTTTCATCACATAAAATACATGCCAAGTATGGTATCATAGACTTCTTATACTTAGACGTGCGAGCATACAGTTTTTTGAAGTTACTTCTTGTTCTACCTGAGGAGATGTAAGGTGAAAGCTGAGTAAAGGGTAAAGTGGATGCTCCAAGTCAGACAAAATCCCTCTAGCAAATTTATTGCACGAAGTCAAGTGTTTATCGACAACGACGTTAACAATGTAGTCCACTGGGACACCACTCACCCTACTGACCGTCTTTAGCATTCTACGAATTGTGACATAGTCCTTTTTAAGCAAACCGCGAAAGAATAAGGGTGAACAATAAAGAAGAATAGGTAAGATGCAAGAGTTTATGAACTGTAGGAGGGAGGGGGGTTGAGTTATACCCGAGTGCCTTAACTTCTTCTTAATGTAAAATGTCAGGCGGAATATTTTACTGGAGATCGCTAAGACATGGGAAGACCAGGAGGGATCAAAGGAGAGAATGAGTCCAAGATACTTAATTTCTGATTTGATTCCTATATCCATTGTCGTCAGTTTCACAATTGTCACGAGAATCGACGCCTTCTTTTAACTGTCTTTTACATCTTAAGCTGAAATTAACAGTTTGAAATTTAGAATGATTCAGTTTAGGATCGTTAGACTCAGACCATTTACTGACTCCCTATAGAAAGCTATTTATTTTGGTAGAATCTAGCTGGGAGTTAACAGCCATTGAAACTGTTAAATCACCAGTGTACTTCACAAAGTTTATTTATCATTTCAGTTCGCTTCATGATTTCCCGTAGGCTTTAATCACCTCATAGACATACGATTCCTCATGTCACTCTCAAAGATATGTCTAGCTTATCGTTTCCCATTTGAAAATTTCTCTGGTGTCCGATATCTATTCACAGTTCCATCAGTGTTTGTCCGACTGCTCTCCATTTCCTCTTGCAGATTTGTTGTTGACCAGTAGGTTCTTGATTGGTTCATTGCTAGAGTTCCTTATTGTTTATCATTTCTGGCTAGCGAAGGCAACTGTTGATGTAAGTCTAAAGTATTCTTTCACGTTCCCCAGTGGAACATAGGGCACCTTCAAGCTAGTGGCTTGAAGTTTCGGTAGCAGTGTTTATTTTTACAGGATGGGGTTGCTAGCCTCATGCTCTACCTTTCCTCTTTACCAGCCTTATTTCTGAACTAACGAGGTAAAGGAGTGAGTCGGTGGCTCGGGATCGAACTCCGGACCATGTGTATCGTCGGCGAACGTACTAACCGCTGTGCCACCGACGCACAAGGTCCGAAGTATAAGTATAAAACTTGGGCACTGTGGTAGAGTATAACTCCATTATGCACTCAACATATGCAACAGAAATGACTCAACGCAAATACCAGAGATATGGAAGATATTATTACTATCGGTCAAATCAGAGGAGGATAAATAATCTTAAAATTCTAATTCAATTCAGGTACATCATAACATTCTAACAAGCTACTTATTTTGACTGTAAAAACACCCATCCGATTGTATTTGATCAATAACACCCATTTCATTATTTGCGAATGTACATTATCTCATATTGATTTTTATCCAAATGTCTATTGACCAATTTTTACTCATGTATATCAATGAAGGAATACAGTTGTGTGAGTGAGTGACTTGGTGTGATTATGAGTGGCAATAGTTTGTGCTCGAAACGTGGTCATCAGTTAATATTACTGCATAACACTGTGTGATTTATCAAAATAAAATCTGATCCATAATGGAGTTATACTCTACCACCACAGTGCCCAAGTTTTATACTTATATGAATAATAGTCTACGAGCTCGCCTTGTAACTAGCAGGTCCTGGGTTCGTGCCCAAGTCGATGCATACTGATGACGAATCGCAAAACAGGACGAAACAGTTGTGCAGTACTTTACGGTGATTTCCCAATGATTCTCTAGCCACTGTCAATTGATGATGAAATCCTCATGTATGTGTGTGTGTGTCAGTTTGTAACGAAATCCACAATACAAAATTCACCAAAACTCCAGACAAATTCGAAAAATGTAAATCCCCCTATGAATTCAGCAAACAATTATCTCAATATATCTACAGCCTAGCAACATACCCAGATAACATCAACTATAAATTAAATAGTTTGTGATATAAGAGGTAGTAAGAGGCGGACACAGAGGGAGAGAGAGAGAGAGAGAGAGAGAAAAGTAGAGTTTCTATAATGATTTTTGGGGTGTTGACACTTTTCAATCGATAGTTGAAAAACAAAATAAATCATAAAACAGTTGAAGCATGTAAACATGTGAATTCAGGCATAAGTTCATCCATCCTCTCTCTCTCTCTCTTTCACTCTGTACACCTCTAATCAATCAAAAAGTAGTTACTAACGTCGCCTATTTTTTTATACCCGCCAGCTTTCCTTCCTCCAACTATATTTAATATATCTCAATGAAGACATTCATTCATTCATTCACCAACAAAGTACATGTAAACTGTTTCTAACTCTGTCCTAATTATTCAATGAGTTAATCTTTCGTGGAATACAAATGGCTTGGAGACAAAAAATATTGATTAACTGGAAAGATATAGTGGGCAAGGAGGTAGGGGGAAAGAGATTATAAAATGAGAAGATAAATCCATTCATAAATGGGATATATATACATATATATATATATATATATATTCGATTATGTCTGTTCATTTAATCACCATGGCAACTAAAGAAAAACTAGAATTGATACATCGTCATGATTAACATTTTAAAGATAATAATAATAATCTTAAGAGGGTAAATGGAAAAATAATTTAATCGTTTCTCTTACAACACAACACACACTATAAATCACCCTGTTCCCCGCTTGTAAACATCAATGTATCAAAAGATTAGCACTTTGAACACTTGTTTTCATTGTATGTCTTTCTTTGTGTGTGTGTGTGTGTGTGAGAGAGAGAGAAACGCTGACATAGACACTGACATTGTGCCTAAGATTATGAATAATTGTTCATTGGTGAAATAAATAGCCTAACAACAGCCTAACTAACCAACTAACTCACTGAAAGTTATTTACTCAGGATTATTAGTAGTATCTATGCTTGAAGCTTTTAGGAATTACATTATGATTTAATTCAATTTTAGATTTTCCCTGTCGATTGATTGAACTGAAGTGCTAGGTCTCAGGTTGACATGTTGTTGTCGGCTTCTTGTGCAGATACTTCGATGACGTCTCGTCATGTCACTTGAAGTTAGCTGATCGATAGTGACTTGCAATGATGGAATCTAGGATGCGCATTTCATCCCATCTGGGACTTGTCAGCGTTTCAAACTATGGAATAGGAACACCATCACTAGCTGGGGAATGCAGGTATGTTTGCTAGATAACAAGTCTCAAATAAGACGAAATTCCCGTCATCCTGTATTCCACCACTGCTAGTCACCATACACCAATTAACTTAAAACATTAATTGTTTGAAATATTTCCCAAATTGATTTAACAAAATTTACTCTTCAT